TTTTTAACCGCTAGTACAATCAACTAACGGAACTCAGCAGATAGAGAAAGACTCGAAATCACAGATTCACAGAATAGGACCACTCACCTATCTGGAACCGAATAACTGAAAAAGGAAGAAAGGCAAGTACCCAACCACCTACTATCGGCTAAAGAAAGAAAGAAAGAAATGACACACTCTCTGTCACACCAAAGAAAGATCAGTCATGCCTCACCAAAATCCGGTAGGTCCGAGTGACTGCGTCGAACATGACAATAATCCTAATAAGATCGTCACCATCACCAACGAGAATTGCAATCCTAAGCACCATCTGCATTATGACCCCCAACTACACACCGCTAATTTTGTGATGAGCGATGAAACCCTAGCGTTCATGTCAGTCGAGACAAGCAAAGTAACTACTAGAGTCGGCAACATCAGTGGTAGTAACAACGCTACAGCAGTGGTAACCACAATGCTGCAGTACTAGTCTACGTCAAATGTATGAATGCACTTACGGTTGCTACGTGTCCGAGAAGTGAAGGCCTCGCAAAGTGGGACTCGGGTGGGCTTCTGACCTTTTCGGAGGCCGAAACGAGAAGATGGCCGCCAATCAGATTTATCAATGGCAGCCTTTGTCGGGCCCGACCTCCCAATTTTCAGGAGTTTGGGAAAACTGCCACTTTTTCCTATTTCCCCAACACTGGTGGAGGTACTAGTGGTTTAAGCTGCCTTCTCCTTAGTGGGGGACAGCCATCTCAATACTGTGAAGGGGGGAGGCAGGATTACTTTAAAACATAAAGGGTTCTCGAAGTTTATTAGGGATTTCAGCCAGACAGGGCTAAAAAAACATGCATTTCGTGTCTCAATCCTCAATCTAGGCATCTGAATCTCCAGTCTCGCCAAATAGGGGTACATTTGTAATTGAAGAGTGTGATCTTCCACACAACTGATGGCAAAGCAACGGATAAAACAGCAATGAACAAGGCAAACAGAAAGGGGGATCCAGAAACATTAGAGAAGGGAAAAAGAGAAAAAAAGAAAGGAAGGGATGGGGAATGAGATGGAAATGAAAACCCATACTTCAGGGTCGTCGGGGGGCGCGCGCGCGCGCGCGCGCGCGAGAGAGAGAGAGAGAGAGAGAGAGAGAGAGAGAGAGAGAGAGAGAGAGAGAGAGAGAGAGAACAGGTTTTGGTTGGGAACACTTCCCTCATTAGTCGCCCTGTCACAGTGTGCAGTAGGGGCGCTTTGGGGGCCGAGTCCTCCCTATCAGGGAAGCAATCAATGCCCTCAAGGATAGTCCCTTTGCCAGAATGGAGGAAAGTGGTCGTATATCTTGGGGAGCAAAGGGATGCAGGGCATGGTTTCCAGTTTTTCCTTGTCCTTAAAAAGACTTGTAACCCCTCAAAGGGCGCTGAACCCGGTTTCTAGCAGGTGAAGATCCCTACCAATAGGTCAGGAAGCTTCGATCCATTGTTTGAAGGGGAAGGGGGGAGGAGACGGAAACGGAAAAAAAGCAGAAGGGGCTGAGATGCAGACGGAGAAAAGTTGGCCGAAATGCAAGGAGGAAACTGGAACAAAATTGCAGGGATCAAGCTGAATGATTGTGAATGAAAATTAATGATTGCAGAGAGCTGTGGCCTGAACATGACGTATCATGCTTTGGGACGGCAAGAATCACATGCTGTGTATCGCATACGATTAGATTGCGAGACTGAAGGGATGACTGCTAGGTCCTATTGCCATGGTATTGCATGCAATTACTGTGACTGCTTGCACTTGCCTCTCAAGATTATGAAAGAGGGGGGGGGGGGG